ATTCTCTTACATGTACCTGTCCAGTTTTGCCAACAACAACTGTTGAGGAGGCTGTCATTTTCCCATTGTATATCCATGGCTCCTTTATCATATATTAATTGACCATATATGCTTGCTTTTATATCTGGGCTCTCTAGTCTGTTCCATTGGTGTATGGGTCTGTTCTTCTGCCAGTACCAAATTGTCTTGATTACTGTGGCTTTGTAGTAGAGATTGAAGTTGGTGAGCATAATTCCCCCTGCTTTATTCTTCCTTCTCAGGATTGCTTTGGCTGTTCGGGGTCTTTTGTGGTTCCATATGAATTTTATAATTATTTGCTCTAGTTCATTGAAGAATGCTGTTGGTATATGGATAGGGATTGCATTGAATCTGTAGATTGCTTTAGGCAGGATGGCGATTTTGACAATAATAATTCTTCCTAGCCAACAGTATGGGATGAATTTCCATTTATTAGTGTCCTCTTTAATTTCACTTAAGAGTGTCCCATAGTTTTCAGGGTATAGGTCTTTCACTTTCTTGGTTAGGTTTATTCCTAGGTATTTTATTCTTTTTGATGCTATTGTGAATGGAATTGTTTTCCTGATTTCTCTATCTGCTAGTTCATCGTTAGTGTATAGGAACGCAACAGATTTCTGTGTATTAATTATGTATCCTGCAACCTTGCTGAATTCAGATATTAGATCTAGTAGTTTTGGAGTATATTCTTTTGGGTTTTTTATGTACAATATCATGTCATCTGCAAATAGGGACAGTTTAACTTCTTCCTTGCCAGTCTGGATGCCTTTTATTTCTTTGTGTTGTCTGATTGCTGTGGCTAGGACCTCCAGAACTATGTTGAATAAAAGTTGGGAGAGTGGGAATCCCTGTCTTGTTCCTGGTCTTAAAGGAAAAGCTTTCAGCTTCTCGCTGTTAAGTATAATGTTGGCTCTGGGTTTGCCTTTATTATGTTGAGTTACTTACCCTCTATACCCTGTTTGTTGAGAGTTTTTATCATGAATGGATGTTGAATTTTGTCAAATGATTTTTCAGCATCTATGGAAATGATCATGTGGTTTTTGTCCTTTTTATTGATGTAGTGGATGATGTTGATGGATCTTAGTTTGTTTTTTACAGTATGTGCAAGGCATTTTCACTGTGGAGTGTATTTGAGGGCTTTTTAGAAGGTGGGAAAAATTGCCTGTTCTCCATGTAGTTGTGAAACTATGTAGTCTTGGTGAATATGGAGTAAAATATCACTAATTTCTATTTATGGCATGGGGAGTGCAATGAGGGGAGGATGGAAACCATTTAAATGGATGAAATGTGTGAGTTCCAGAATGCTTGTAAGGAAATGCAGTTTTATGATGTTCAAATAGAGGAAGTCCCTTTTTGTTACAGTGTGTTCCAAGAGACTGACTAGCCGTATATTTCTCAGGCAACTATAATGATCTATAATTACTTCAAAGAGTTAAGTTATCCAATTAGGATATGAGAATTTTAGTGATTGTCTAAGTCAACTTCTTCCATTAAACAGGTGAGGGAGTTAAGGGTAAGAGGGAAGCTGAGCTAAACTCTAAATCCTAGGTCTTTTGGCTGTCAGGAAGTTGTAGCACAAAAATAAAGTATGTTAATTGGTTACCCACAAGCACTGTACAGTTGACCTGTGAACAGTGCAGGGGTTAGGGGTCCCAACTCCCCACACAGTGGAAAATCAGCAGGTAACTTTTGACTGTCTTAAACTTAAAAACTTAAATTCTATCTAGTACCCTTCTGTTGACCTGAAGCCTTTCTGATAACATAAACAGTTGGTTTATGCATATTTTGTATGTTACATGTATTATATTCTGTATTCTCACAACAAAGTAAGCTAGAGGAAAAAAGTACTTTTTCAAATTGTCACAAATCTTCAACAAATTTTCCAATATATTCATTGAAAAAAATCTGTGTGTAAGTAGACATGAGCAGTTCAAAACTTTGTTGTTCAAGGGTGAATTGTATTTATCATAATAATTGTCTATAGATCATTTTGTTGTTCATCTTAGGATTTAAATGGGCTTCTGAGGGATGGCTTGGCTTACCTAGTGTCTTTTAATGATAGTGGGCAGTTCTCATATATCACTCACTCTGGGCCATGTGTTGTCCTAAGGTTTTCTTTTTGTTAACTACTTAATGCCTGCCACAGCTGTGCAATGTGGCAGTTAGTGTTGTTATTATTAATAAATTGGTATCATTAGTATTAGTATTGGTTTTCTCAGTTTATAAACGGGGATACTGAGGCAGAGAGGGCATGCTGCTGGCAGGTGGTATATATGCAAATCCAAGTTATTGGCTTCAGAAATTGCTTTTGACCATTCTTTGTTCTTTTGCTGTCTTTAAGTAAACAACAACAAATCAAAAATAAAAAGTACAGACATATTGCAGAAATTTAAATACTGTAGACACCATATTTGCTAAATTAGTCACTAACATATTTCAGATTTTTCTATTCACATAGAGATAAATACATAAGTAGATGTGTGATTTTGCTTCATATTTAGGAATAGAGGAGGCATCATATTATAAATACTATTCTATAACTTTTTTATATATAGTGAGTATGTTTTCATTTTTGTATGTGTGGGTCTTCAGTATTCGTTACATCTGTGTTGATGTAAAGTGGTTTATTTAACTAGTATGTTATTGATGGGCATATGGGATGTTTCCAGTGTCTTTTACATATGTTTGCCCACTTTGATGAATATTTCTGTTGGATATAGTTCTGAAGATGGAATGGCAGTGTCAAAGAATAAACTTCATACACTTTTGATATATAAAGTAAGTTGCCTTTCAAAAATGTGCAAATTTATATTCTCATCCACTATATATTATCAGTGTGTTTTTCCATTCTTGAATTTGCATCTGATGTTATCTTTATTGTTAAAAAAGGAAAAAATGAAATCATGTTTTAAATTTGTGTTCTGTTCATAATGAATGAAGCTGAGCATTGTTTAATATTTTTATCAATTGCTCATTCATAGCATCTGTCACCTTTTAAATCTCAAAATTTGATGTGTAGGAACTCTTTTCTAGACGTTTGCAGTTAATCATAATAATAGCAACTGATGATTATTGAGAGGCTATTCTGTGTCAGACACTGTTCTGATTGCTTTAAATGTGTTACGCATTTAATAACCCAGGAACACCATGCAATAGGCATTAGACCACAAGAGGTTAAGAAATTTGCCAAAATAGCTAGGAAGTGGCAGAGTTCAGATTCAGGTGGGATGGCTCGTGCTCTTAACCATCAAGCTAACCTGTCTTTGAGGCTGAGAATAATAACTGTTACAATTTATTGAGTGATTTTCGTGCTTTCTCTTATTTAATCGTCATGATCATCTAGTGGGTTCTATTATTATTTTTATTTTGTAGATGAGGAAACCAAGACTTGGAGATTAATTCCTCAGTTAGTAAGTGATAGGATTGGAATGTCAGTGAGATCTGTCTGGCTCCAAAGCCATCTTCTTAACCCTCTGTCACCTCCTTTTTTTCTTTCCCGGGTACATTTTCCTAGGTACATTAGGAGTGGCATTAGAAGGAGGGAAAACAATGCAAAGGGGAACCATAGGTCATGTGAGAGAGGAATTAATTCAGTTTCCTTTGCTGAAAATACTAGCCACAGGCATTAAATCCTGTGTTTTTCCTAGCTGCCTAACAAGGGTGGAGTGAGTGGTTAAAGGCAGTGAGAAGTGAAGTTCAGTGAAATTTCTGTTTGAAAGTGTGGAAAGTGAAATAAAAGTGTGAATCGCTAGATATGATAAATGCCAGTCAACTGTTCACCAAGTGTTGTTCTGTGCATTAGAATTGCTTTAGATTATCCTTACCTATAAAAAGTAATGTTCTTTTTCATGTAAAAATTGCTCTGTGGTCCTTGAGATGTTTACTTTTAAGAAATAGGTAAATGTGGAACCTCCCCTGCCTCACCATATTGGCTCTGCTGTTTGTTTTTCTAGCAAACTGTATACATGAGTTGTCAATGTAAATTTCAGTCTAGTTCAGATAAATAATCAATTCTTAATTCAGAGTCGGTTGTATTAATAAGATTCTACTCTTTAGTATTTTAGTAGCTAAGTTGAATGTATTTTTTCTTCAGTGTATCATTTTCCACATTCTTATTTATACAGATGGAAACTGCTAGTGGGCAGTCCAGGTCGTACAGGCCTTGAATGTAATGGACTCACCAAGGCCCTGTGAACTAGATGCTCATGTAACTGAAGATGGTTATGGATGGGTTCTTTGCCAGCGGCTTGAACGGACACGCCAAACTATTGGATTCTGGGCACAACTATGGAAAGGAGCAGAGGTCCGGTACACCTTGGGGGAGGGAGAAGGGGACTGAGGGGTATTATGATTAGTATACATAGTGTGGGGGGATCATGGGGAAGACAGTGTAGCACAGAGAAGACAAGTGGTGACTGTGGCATCTTACTACACTGATGGACAGTGACTGCAATGGGGTATGAGGGGGACTTGATAGTATGGGTGAATGTTGAAACTAAGTTTTTCATGTGAAACCTTCATAAGACGGTGTACCCTGAATAATAAATACAAAAAAGCCTGTAGGCTTATGATGGGGATTATGTTGAATCTACAGTCGATCTAGGGAGAACCGTCATCCAGTTGAATCTTGGAATCTGTGAACACGCCCACCTCTCTTCATTTATTCAAATGTCTAATTTTTCTCAGTAATTAAAAAAACTTTTTATTAATACAATGTTATAAAGGAGTCACATGAACATTGTGGTCACTACATTTACCCATATTATCAAGTCCCCCCGCTCCCACACACACCCCATTACAATCACTGTCCATCAGAGTAGTGAGATGCTATAGTGTCAGTACTTGGCTTCTCTGTGCTATAGTGTCTTCCCAGTGACCGCTCTACGTTGTGTGGGCTAATCGTAGTGCCCTCTAATTCCGTTCTCCCACCCTCCCTACCCACCCTTCTTCAGCAATGTGTTATGATTGGTTTCAACCACCTTCTTCCTAGCAACAAGATTCCCGCCGTAGAGCGAGCCTCTGGACGTAAAGAACGTGAGGCCGTAAAGCCGTGAGTGTCGTAAGCCAGGTGCGGTGCGGAGAGAAGCGGAGAACGGGTCTCCAACATACCGGCGGCCGCAGGAGGAGCCGACGGATGGCTCCGGGTGTCAGCGCAGAAAGCCGACGAGTCAGCGGTGCAGCAACGGTGAGTAGCGGAGGGGACCGGGGAGCGGCCGAGTCAGGGGGAGCCGGGCAGCCCGGGCGGCCGGAGCAGGGACGGCCAAGTGGAACGGAGCGCTCTCTGCCCGCCTCCGCTGCCTGACCCGCGCCGCGGCCGGTCCGCTCTCCCTGCGCTGTCGAGTCTTTTCCTCGGCCTCTCTCCGGCTGGCCGCTCCTGCCGCCGCCGCCGCATCCCCGGCGCTGGGCGGCCGGCCGGCCAGTTTTCTGGTCTGGGTGGAGCGGCTGTTGCTTTCCGCGCGTTTCCCCACTCTGCTGCCCTTCGGCGTCGCCTCCTCTCATCCCCCTCCGTGTTATCCTCCCTCAGCGCGGAGGCCCTGGGAGTCGGGCAAGTAACTTGTGCCCGGCGCGGACCCTGCAAAGTGCCTGCTGCGCGCCGCCGGTCGCTGTCGCTCGGCCCCGCGGCTTGGGTCGGCCCGGGCTGCGGGTGGCGGCGGGCTGCGGGTCGTCCGTGCGCGCGTGTGCGCGGGTCCCGGCTGTGTGTGAGTTGTGAACTCTAGCTGTTGGTAGAAGACCTTAGAGTATGGCAGCATGGGAAAAGCTTCATCATCTGTTTTGCAGTACCAACTACGTGTGTACTCGAATTACTAGTAACAGATGCTTGTGACCACTTAATTCCCTCTCCCCTCCCTCTCCCCATCCATATTTAAAATTGAATGTGAATGTAAGATAAACGTGGGAATTAGGTCCATTTCTTATGTTTATTGTTGTATTCTAAGAATATTCTGAGATCTCTATTTTCTTCCAATTTTGGTTTTTAGATAAATAATCCAATTTCAATTTTCTTTTTATAAAATGTGATACCATTGTTATTTAGATACCTCAGTTAACTATTCGTGGTCATCAACCCACAATATATCCTAATTTTCCTAATCTAAGATCTTTATATCCATTCAGTCCAACATTCTACTTGAATGTTTGGGTTTTTTGTTAAATGCTCAGAGTGTGAAGCGTTTTTTGATTAAAAAATTCATGGTTCTCTTGGAATCTTACATTTTTAATATGGAAGGTATCCTCAGAGGTTCCTTTTTATCTAAAAACTGATACAGGTAAGCTGTAATTTAGGGTCTTCAAGTTAGAAACTGTGTAAGAGAAAGGATGATACACCATGACCAAGTGGGATTTATCCCAGGGATGCAAGGATGGTACAACATTCGAAAATCCACATCATCCACCACATCAACAAAAAGGACAAAAACCACATGATCATCTCCATAGATGCTGAAAAAGCATTTGACAAAATTTAACATCCATTCATGATAAAAACTCTCAACAAAATGGGCATAGAGGGCAGGTACTTCAACATAATAAAGGCCATATATGATAAACCCACAGCTAACATCATACTGAACAGTGAAAAGCTGAAAGCTTTTCCTCTGAGATCGGGAACTAGACAGGGATGCCCACTCTCCCCACTGTTTTTCAACATAGTACTGGAGGTCCTAGTCATGGTAATTAAACAAAACAAAGAAATACAAGGAATCCAGATTGGTAAAGAAGAAGTCAAACTGTCACTATTTGCAGATGACATGATATTGTGCATAAAAAACCCTAAAGACTCCATTCCAAAACTACTAGAACTAATATCAGAATTCAGCAGAGTTGCAGGATACAAAATTAACACACAGAAATCTGTGGCTTTCCTATACACCAACAATGAACTAATAGAGAAATCAGGAAAACAATTCCATTCACAATAGCATCAAAAGAATAAAAAAGCTAGGAAAAAAACCTAAACAAGGAAGTGAAAGACCTATACCCTGAAAACTATAGACACTCTTAAGAGAAATTAAAGAGGACTCTAACAAATGGAAACTCATCCCATGCTCCTGGCTAGGGAGAATTAATATCGTCAAAATGGCCATCCTGCCCAAAGCAATATACAGATTCGATGCAATCCCTGTCAAACTACCAACAGCATTCCTCAATGAACTGGAACAAATAGTTCAAAAATTCATATGGAACCACCAAAGACCCTGAAGAGCCAAAGCAATCCTGAGAAGGAAGAATAAAGTGAGAGGGGGGAGGGGGATCTCACTCCCCAACTTCAAGCTCTACTACAAAGCCATAGTAATCAAGACAATTTGGTACTGGCACAAGAACAGAGCCACAGACCAGTGGAACAGAATAGAGACTTGAACATTAACCCAAACATATATGGTCAATTAATATACGATAAAGGAGCCATGGACATACAATGGGGAAATGACAGTCTCTTCAACAGATGGTGCTGGCAAAACTGGACAGCTACATGTAAGAGAATGAAACTGGATCACTTTCTAACCCCATACACAAAAGTAAATTCGAAATGGATCAAAGACCTGAATGTAAGTCATGAAACCATAAAACTAGAAAAAAAACATAGGCAAAAATCTCATGGACATAAACATGAGTGACTTCTTCATGAACATATCTCCCTGGGCAAGGGAAACAAAAGCAAAAATGAACAAGTGGGACTATATCAAGATAAAAAGCTTCTGTACAGCAAAGGACACCATCAACAGAACAAAAAGGAATCCTACAGTATGGGAAAATATATTCATAAATGACAGATCCAATAAAGGGCTGACATCC